TTCCAGTTGTCTGGTCCTAACGGTCGCTTAGGCTTTTATGTATATAGATGTGCCATTTCAAACTATTGGAAAGTTCCTGAATGTCTGCACAGAAGAGGGTCCATTCACCCAGTGGAGTCTCTGTGGCCAGAAGAAAGAAAAAATTTCAGGGAGGATGAAACAGAAGGCTCGAGGGGCAGAGGTGGAGGAGGAGGGGATGGGAGCCGTGTAGCAGCGGGGGCGCGGGACCTGTGGGCCAGGGGGGCGCTGCCTGCCGCCCAAGGACAGCGGGAAGGCACAGGCTGAAGCCTAGGACAGTCGCTCACATTATGGTTTCCTGCAAGTTACACACACTCCTTGGTTCACTGTATCTCCCTCACTGGACTCTACGTGAATCCCATTGTGAAACGTTGGCCACGAATCCAAAATCTAAAAAAAATTACTGGGAGCGGCAGTTATGTAAGATGTGACCCCTGGGGGAACTGGGGGAAGTGGGGAAACTGGGAGAAAGTGGGGAAACGGGGAATTGGGGGAACTGGGGGAATTGGGGGAACAGGGGGAATTGGGGGAACTAGGGCAGTGGTCGGCAAACTCATTAGTCAATAGAGCCAAATATCAACAGTACAACGATTGAAATTTCTTTTGAGAACCAAATTTTTTAAATGTAAACTATATAGGTAGGTACATTGTTATTAACCTAATTAGGGTACTCCTAAGCTGGCCTTTGCTAAAAACGTCCTCCATCTGATTGAGGTAAGTTCTCTGAGGTCGACCCCTTCCGACTCTCCCATCCACACTCGTCTTGTATACTTGTTTCAGACAGACGAGTGTGGATGGGAGACTTGGAAGGGGTCAACCTCAGCGAACTTACCTCAAAAACATTGTACCTCCCCTGCGCTGCGTATCCCAAGGCCCCACTGCGCTGATATCCCTGTTGCCGACCAACCGATACCCCCCACGTCTTCTAACCCCACTTCTTCAGAATAGACTCGCCCAGGCTGAAATCCGACCTCTGTGTGTGGGCCACGAAGTTTCAATTGCACTGTACGTGCACCCGCGTGTGGTATTTTGTGGAAGAGCCACACTCAAGGAGCCAAAGAGCCGCATGTGGCTTGTGAACCACAGTTTGCCAAACACTGAACTAGGGGAACTGGGGGAATTGGGGGAACTGGGGGCAACTGGGGAACTGGGAGGAACTGGGGGGACTTGAGGGAACTGGGGAACTGGGGGAT